AAACATTTTTCTTCTTTTTTTAAATTTCCATTTACAAAACATGTTCTTATCTTGTATCAATAATAGAATAAAATTTCCTCCATACTAGGTCTGAGCGATTCACCAAATATGTTGTTATATGGAATTTGCTGTTCTTAGAGTTTTAACTTTTAGGACCATCTTAGGCTTCCGTAGTTCAAATTGACATCCCCTTTTGTTTTTCATGTAAACTCAGTGCTGATTAAGTAGCTCATTGTCTCACACTGTTAGCTTCAAACTTTTTATTTGATATATTTCCCATGTTTACAAGCCTGTCCCACGGCTTTTATTTAGTTTAACTTGAAATTCAAGTTGTTTCCCAGAAGCTTTTTTGTAATCCGTCATTGTTTTCATGAACTAAAGGGAGAAAAAACTCTGTTAATCGGATTTTTTATATGAAATCCACAGTATTGTCTAGATCTGGATCCTTCCTTCCAAACCATTATTTTGTATTTGTCTCCCTACCACTTAATGATTCATACTGCGCTGTAGTAGTTGTACCGTTACGCTCCTAGCGAACACTAAAAACCTTTTCCACCTGTCTGTCTAATTGTGTGGCTTCATGTCACAATCGCGGTGATGCTTATAGCGCCTTTCACTGCTGTTTATTTTGCATGCTTTGGTTTTAATTGCTATTAAAACAAACTCTTTGCTTTAAAGGGCTTCCATCGGTCTCTAATTATTGTTTTGTAGACAGCGTAGATGCTAGCCTATACTTTGAAGATCCTGTATGCTTGTGGAGCTCGATGCTTCTAACTGGTTGTTGCGCTCCTGGACATTTCCTCAGGTCAAATCAGGAAATACAGACCTACGCCATCGCGCTCATCAACGCCCTTTTCCTGAAAGCACCGGAGGACAGACGGCAGGCAAGTGAACTACTGGGCCCTTTAGAAATAAAATGGCCGACTCTAACTGCACACCATAGTTATGTCATTATTCTTCATCCCAAAACAGTCGCCTACACGTACATCACTTTCACTGATTTCAGATCATCAAACCAACAGACTTTTAGTTTGGTAGTAGCTCCTTCATTAGGTAGTACCAACACCTACATCTAAATTAAAGTATATATTTAAATAAGTTGCCCAAATATAGAGCGAAACATTAAAAATTCCAAATAATCTGAAAGGAATAAAATTATATTTATATTTACTTCACCATATATTTTATAAGTCATATAGATGCATAAGTAAAGGAAGCAAATCTGTTTCATATATACTAACTGATTTTGGTTAAAGAAAGACAATTGAAATGTTTTGCTTAATTTTTATATTGGTAATTTATGAAGGTTAAATCTGTCTCCATGGAGTTTGCAAGCTATCCCTGTTCATTGGTGGGTTCCCTCCGGGTACTCCAGCTTTCTCCAACAATGCAAAAATATGTCTACTTGGATACCTCGCTTAAATTATTCATAGGTATGGCTATGTTCACACTGCAGGAAATTGTTACCCAAATCCAAAGTGTTTTTGCCCATAAGCGACTCATATCCGACTTTGCCGTGGTAGTAAGAACGACCCAATAATGATCTTTCACTTCACAAAAAAATCTGAATTGTGCCACTTCCATAAGTGGTGCTAAATCGGATATGTATCAGCATCGCTCTCACCTGCGTGTATCAGCGCAGTGGCCACCAGAGCATGTGAACGAAGGGATTCCCGCTCCCCACTCAGGAGGATGTTCGCTCGTTTGCTCCGCCACTCAAAGTTGCGCTGAGTTGCTCCCGAGTGGTGCACGACTTTACACGAGTGAATAAAGTGAATGTGATTGGTCATTTATCAAGAGGGCGTGATTTTTGTGGGAAAGGTTCGCAAGCAAGTTTGGTTGTGGCCAGTTTCTTGGAAGCATCTTGCTAACCAGTTAGCAACTTAGTGCTAGTAGGTTCCCAATGGGAAATTCCATTGGGACCAAGTAGCACTAAATTGGTGACTTAGAAACGACACTGTCAAGGAACGCTATCGACAGAGAAAACATGCAAGAGGAGGAGAGTTTAGTGTTGGAGGTCATGGATGAGTCTCCTCCGTCATACATTTTTATTTAGAGGAGGAAAGCGGGACGAAGATGTTGTGGAAGAGGACGCCAGGGCGGCAGAAGCTTGGTTTGGTGTAGAAGGCTTCCAGCCGTACATGTTTGAGCCCTTGCCTCGCAACGCTGCCAGTTCTGTTAGCTCTACGCCTGCTGAAGACACAGACGTCCATCCCCGTGAACACTGGGACGGAACTCAATGGGAAAGTTGGGCTACATTCACACTGCAGGACTTGATGCTCAATTCCGATTTTTTTGTGAAATCCCTTTTTTTTTGCGTTGCCGTTCATATTTCCAAATATATGCGACTTGTACGTGATCTCCTGTGTGAACTGCAGTCACACAGGAGGTGTCCCGCATGCGCAGTAGAGGATGCAATGACGTCACACGCCAGCGTGCTCTGTGTTTACGGAAGTAAGCATGGGTGGTAGTGGATGGTTAGATGGTTAAACATAAATACTGCTCTCCGCATCATCATCTGCCATGGTTGTTGTTTTTCTTGCTGCTTCTTTGACCTTTGTCGGGTATAAATGGCGTTCAGGTTGGATGAATACGATCTGGCCGTTCAGACACAGGTCGCATTTGAAAAGATCAGATTCGTATCGGATTCTGGACCACATAGCAAAGTGGCCTGGGTTGCATTGTAAAAAATCGGATCTGTGTTGTTCAGACAACCATGAAAAGATCAGATACAGGTCGCATATGGGCCAAAAAATCAGATTTGGGTCACTTCAGGCTACAGTTTGAACATAGCCTAAATGATTCGTATTTCTGTTCAACCGTTGCGTATATTAGCTGCGAAAAATTTGATTGACAGATGACTGTTTATATATGATTGGCCGAATTTAGGTGTTCAGGCTGACGTATAACTAACTGGCCTGCATAAGATAATAAAAAAACAACAACACAGATTTTAAGACAGGATTTTTTTTTATTTTAAAAAAATTTTCAAAATTGACATGGTCTGATAAAGAGTACAATTATATGCATGTTTAAGCCAGAATGATTTGACATTTAGTTATGACTTTAATATTTGCATGAATACTTTATGAAAAGGACCCTGCTGTGTAGCCCCCTCACTGTGGCTACTGCTGGTGGATCAGAGCAACGTCTCTCTGGGTTATTCTAAAAGTTGGTATTATAAGGAAAGAGACGGACGTCCCCCTCCCCACATGGAGGCAAGTTAAAAAAAAAAGTAGGTGGTGGTTTATTTAGCAAAGAGGCAAATATATGAATAGATATAAGAATATATTAAATATATCTATATATCTCTATACCACAAAATCACATTATAAATATCTGTGCTTTTTTTCTTACCTTTGTTGATAATGTCGGCTTCCATCGTTCAACAGCTTTTAATATCAAAGATGCTTTATTTTAGTAAAAAAAAAAATCACAATTGAGCATCCAGACCTGCAGTGTGAACATAGCCTTAGAGTGTGTCTGCATGCTTGTTTGTTTCGTGTGTCTCTATGTTACCCTGAGATGGACTCGGGGACCTGTCCAGGGTTCGCTGCTTGGCATAGGTCTGCAATCTCTGACTGCTTTTCTAGTTTCAGTTCTGCTTTCTATTTTGTAAATAAAAAAGGACATTTCTTTATAACAGACAGAAAAATCCATTCAGAGTTTTTCATTATCCGAGTCTGGACGTGGTCACTAATTTCACAAGAGCACCAAATCTGACAGGCTGCAGAAATCACCAGTAAGCCGGGGAGGCAGAGGATGTTGAGGAGATGTTGTTTTTAAGTTAGAAACTTCACCACCTTCCCTGTTGTTGTTGATAAAAGGGCACCAATTATAAGAAAGCTCGCCTTCTGTCAGTCTGCCCTACGGCAGCTGGGGCTAAGATTTGCTCATCAAGGTGTGTGTGGATGGGTGAAGGCATTTTGGAGTCCATGGTCTTAGAACTATAAGCATCATTCACTCCATTTTCATCAAAAAAAATCCTTTTTTTGCAGAATATTTATTTATATTTAATATTTATGTGGATAAAAAAACCAAGACATTTTATTCTGGGCTAAAGCTTAAACGGTAGCCTGTTAAATTTGTTATTCTTGTGATTTAAATAACCACATTCAGACTTGGAAAAGAAAAAAAAAAATAATATCTGTTTTAAAGTGTAAAAAAAAAAAGTCTAACATTTTTATTTAATTTATCCCTGTCTAGCAGAGGAAAAGTAAACTCCTTGTATTTTAAAATCATTTGATTCTAAAACAAAGATAAAATAGCCACTCATTTTTTGTTTTTTTGCTAAAGTGTAGTTTCTAAAAAGAACATTTAAGACTGAAAGATCCTTGTATAATTCGATTATTTGTATTTCAGTTTGATATCAAAAATGAAAACGAAATCCAAAAAACTATTTGTTTTTTGGATTTCGTTTTATAAAATAGTAGTTTTAGATAACCTTTCCCCACTACTTTAGATATGATTAGAATGATGGAAATCACGTGAGTTTATTTTATAAACTTCGAGGTAACAATATCTTTTTGATCCACAAGCGGCTAGAAAATAAGAAAGGAAAATCACAGTAAAGAACATTCAAGAGCAGGTTAGAAAGTTTTTACAGACATAAACCTGTCAATTTAGAAATCATAACAGTAACAGTTAATAGCATCAGCTTTTTCCGTTTCCATCTGTATTGTTGCATTTAAAAAAAAAAAATTAATAGCCACTTGTTATTTTTATCACCAAAAGATACTGTCTTTGTTGCACAAACCCAAATACCAACCTTTACATCAGCTTTAAATTCTTCCTTAAACATTTTTTAAACCTGTGTGTGCAAAAAGAACAGAAACTCTTAAGGCTTGAATATTTATACATTTTAATTATGGTGAAATTCCTATAAAAAAAAAAAAAAACAAGTCATAGGATGAATGCCATGTCTGCAGGATGCTCCAGCTGCAATATCAGCTTCCTTCTTTCTAATACACCTGATTCATCTTCTTATGTCACTGCATGCTTGTGAAGTTCGGATCTCACTGTCTGTGTGTTTGCACCTTTTGTTTCCATTGCCGTCATACCCCACCTCCCTGCACCCCACTCATAGGTGGAGTATACTAACCCCCTGGAGCAGCACCTCACTGTGAGTAAACGTCCTCTCTGCAGCTCACTCTGCTCCCACATCCCTCCTCCTCCTTCTTCCTCCTCACTTCCTAGCTTTTTCTGTGTCACAGCCAGCCTCTGCATAATCTTTTCGCATGGAAATGGAACCACAGCTTGTTGCTGCAGCATGCAGAACCATTTTATACTTCCTTTATGCTAATTCTGCAGACCCACCTCATTCAAACCCTTATAGAAACTCAGCTGTCGGTTATTTTAATATTGTTTGGCTACATTTCTGGGAGGTTAATTCTCAGCTGCTTTGCTTTGTTGTAAATTGCTTATTTTTCTTCTGATTAATTTGTTGTTATCTTGTGTGTTTCCTCAGGAAATGGCGAGCAGTTTGGCTCAGAAACACCTGCGGTCCATCATTCTTAACGTAAGTATCAACCTCAGTTAGAATAAACACAAATCAAGCCGTTTTCCAGCTATCCAATTGTCTGAAGATCCTCTCTGTGACTAAAAGTTAGTTAGTTACTGGAAACTTTTAAGCTCCACTCACTCAGAAAGAAGAGAGTCCTAACCAGTAAATGTGATATGGCACCGAGTCCATGAAGCGAAACAGGATTGGCTCTGAAAATGATTTTTATTTGCACTTGTCAGAAAAGATCCGCTTGAACTGGCTGCAAATGTCTTCGAGAAGAACACGCTTCAGTTTCCTCGAGCAGCTCAAACTTTCCTTCCTACAGAAATCTGCCCACATCTTTATAATGAGCATTACTTACCTAAAAAGTTGCGCTGTTTCCCTCCAAACCCTGTACCACTCCATGTTTGAATAGAATGAACACAAAAATACCTCCTTTTTTTTTTAGAAAATATTAATATTTCCTTGGCAACATTTTTCACACTACATGAAATGTTTCACTTTAATTAGCCCCTCCAATATTTAATGTACTTTGTAAATTCTCAATTGGATATAGGTGTGGACTTGGACTAGGACAATTTGTGTAAGAACGACCAATAAGAACTTAAATTAGGTGAAATAAGATAAAATGTCTGTCCATTATCAACATTAGCTAAGTAGTTTAGCCTAAAAAGCAAAGAAGACTCTAAAATACCAAATTAAATGTTTTACCTTCATTTATTTCATGCTTTTCTTTCCTGTTATATCTTTTTTTTTTTTAAATGTCAATAGCTAGAAATAATGTACGGATCTTGTTTATTTTGAAGGCCTGCTGAGGTGATCTGCAAGGCTATAACTTTATAAATTTTATATATAAATTGTAGGGGTTTTTTTTGTCAACTCAGTGTAGATTAAACTCCTCTCAGTCCTTTTCTAGCTTTAATTTAGAGATTTCTGTATTAATTGATTTGTTCTGTGTAGAAAGATTTGTTATTGTGACATTAAAATCATAATTATGAGATTAAAAGAGAAAAAATAATATATATATATATTTATTTATTTTTTTATTTTATTATTATTTTTTTCCTCGTGGCCTTAATCCTCATCTGCACACGCTTCTTTTGTAACATTTATATTTTCTTGGAGCTTACTTATCTTTCCCTTTTCTGGCTGCTCGCTCTGTGTGAGAAGAAGTCCAAAGCTGCTGCTGTTTTTCTGCTGAGTCTAGAAAAGTTTTGCCCTGTAAAAGTTATCATCATTATGTTTCGATCATCATATGGTAAAGGATTAAAAGTAAATTAATCACAGTTAATGCCTCTATTGGATCAGGGTTCAGTATGTGCTCCACCGCTGGGGAGCTTCTGATATAAATTGTTGTCTTGCTGGAAGGATAAACTCTGCTATAATCTTCAATCAGTTTCACTCTGTGACAGGTTTTCCTCCATGATTGCTCTATATTTAGCTCCATCCTTCTCCCCATCGACTCTCATCACCTTCCTTTCCCTGCTCAGGAAAAGCTCCAGGCTTGCTGAAGCCTTCAGGTTTCATGATGGGGATGTTGTACCCTGGAGGATTTCTACAACCTCTGCAGTGTTTTGCATGTTGGTTAAAAAACAAACATTTCCCTGCCTTTCAACCAGAGCTCCTTGTTCCACATGTTTGATGTGTTTCCTAAAGGATATAATCAAATTGAGATCCAATTATGCAGCACTATACTTTATTAGCTAATTTGGCCGCATGAAAACAATAAGTTACAGTTGATTCTATTTAGGAGTTTTAAAGAGAACAATGAAATAGGGCTGCAACTTATGATTATTTTGCAAATTAATTTATCTGTCGATAATATTTTTTTTAATTTATTGATTAATAATCGTATAGCCAAAGATTCTTTAAAGGAGACTTTTTTTTACAAAATTAAACCACTTGAGTTCTGGGTAGAGCTTATTGACAGATGCAAAATGTTTCTGTATTTTTTTACAATCTTGATATAAGCGGGTAACTCTGTCAGCTGCAGGCATGTTTTAGAGTCTCTATACTCCAGTTAAGGATTAATCGATTACTGAATTAGTTGACCATTGAAAAAAAAAGCACCATTAATCTGAATAAATGTTTCTGTCCAATAATCAAACAAAGTGATCTGTAAAGATTTCCACTTTAAATGTAGATCATACTTTATCCTTGTTTATGTCATTAAACCCAATAAAACATAAATACATTTAATAATGTGTAACAAAAACTTTTTTTGTTTATTCATTTAACACAGCAGGCACAATAAATCCTTAAAATATAATTATTTACTTTTTTGAAAAAAAAAAAAAAAACTATAATGCGGTTTCGTGTAAAATTATATTGAGCCTTTTTTTTTTTTTCTCATTTTGATATGAGGGAAAAGTGAGTTTTTTTAGAAAATGGCCACTTATTAATGAATCCCTATAGTCGATCAATAAAATCGGACAAATTTGATCAATTAGAATAAAAATAACTTTCATCTGTATTCAGCATACTCTATATATATTTTATGTATATCTGTCTATCCATACACGTATATTTATATAAAAGGTTCTAGATAATCCTTTTAAAAATATTAATTGCTCACCCTTAAGAAAGAGTCTTGCCTTTGCCACAATGCTGCCTCTCCCAATGTGCCACCCTTTCATGATGTCACTGGGTTAGGCTCCTCTTTAGACAACCTAACTGCATAAACTGCGACACACATGCAGACGACCTGGTTTTGTGAACATAAAACAGCCTTAACACCTTTCGGTCCCTAAGAAACACGTTTTTGCGACTTAAAGATTAATAAAAAAAACAGTTGCTGTCACCGTGCAGATTAGATGCTAAAAAAGTTACTCTGTCTGATCATGCTCTGCCTCACATCACCCCTCATTGATCTTAGAAAGAGGGCTTCATTTTTACTGGGCAGGTGCGATGCAGTCAAGGTAGTTGCTTCCTAGAGGGAGTGAGTAATGAGAGCTGTACATAGGATGATGGTGGCCATTAATTTTCCAAAACGATTCATGGGGATCAAGCAAAATACGACTTTGGGCCTGATTTGGGCGAAGCAATAAAATTAAACATAGTTAAAAGCTCAAAGGGTTAATATTTGAATGATGTATTCCAATGACTAAAGAACAGTATTTCGATTTTTTTTATTTTTCATTTTGTCTGCAGGTAACAGCTTGGGAACATAAATGCTCTAATGGCTCTTTGTTTTTCAGCACGTCATCAGAGGAAATCGACCGATCAAAGCAGAGATGGCACATCAGCTGTACGTGCTGCAGGTGTTGACCTTCAACCTCTTAGAAGAAAGAATGATGACCAAAATGGATCCCAATGACCAGGTGAGATTTTAAAACGAAATATTTATGCTTCATATCCGTCACATCATTTATAGTCTTCCTGAAATCAAAGCAGGAATGAATGAATGTTTTTCTAAAAGAAAAGATAGCATGTAGGCTATCTGCCTTTAAATGTTAAATTAGAAACCACGGTTAACGAAATGGGAGCATGCTGTGAAGGTTTAATAGAGATAAGCTATTATGAGGGTAGAGCACACTCTGATAAATCTGCTTTAAGTGTAATCAGCAGAGCAGAAAATGAAGCCTTTCCTGTTTTTGCCAGTACTTGCTGCAACCCATCTGCTCATCGCTGATTGACCCATCTACTCTCTGGCTTCTCTCTTGGCTCTATCATGGTAAACGTTCCCCTCTTTATGCTGATAAGCTATTAACAGGGTTGTATTTTGCCTTCCCAGGCTCAGAGGGAAATCATTTTTGAGCTGCGTAGAATCGCCTTTGACGGAGACACTGATCCCACCGGTACAGAGAAGAGGAAAGCAATATACACCAAGGACTACAAGATGCTAGGATTCACTGTGAGCTTATATAGCACATTGTATTGTTTTAAATCAAAGAATAAAAAAGGAGATGATTAATCAGATTTAAACTTAATAATAAAAGTGTTTTGTTTTTTTCCCTTACCTGAAACACAGAACCACTTGAACCCGGCTATGGATTTTACCCAGACTCCCCCTGGGATGCTAGCTCTTGATAACATGCTGTATCTGGCCAGGGTTCATCAGGATACTTACATCAGGGTAAGTGCCGGTATCAGGCATGACTAAAGGAGCTAAAAGGGCTGGACGTACCTTAACTCACCTTCCTGCTTGCGACAGATCGTCCTGGAGAACAGCAGTCGGGAGGACAAGCATGAGTGTCCCTTCGGCCGCTGTGCGATTGAACTCACTCGAATGCTGTGTGAAATACTCCAGGTTGGAGAGCTGCGTGAGTAACTTTGTTTATCTACCACTGTGTGGTGAAAGTAAGAACACAAGCTTTAAAGTTGTAGGGAAATCATATTTAAATGTCAAATCATTCTGGCTAAAACATGTATTTAAATCTACGATATTGTCCCAAAATTTAGAAAATTTCTTTAAAAAAAAAATCCTGTCTTAAAATCTGTGTTTTTTTTCCATTATCTTCTGCAGGTCAGTTATTTATATGTTAGCCTGAACACCTTAATATGGCCAATCATATATCAACGGTCATCTGTCTATCAATTTTTTTCGGTCATAGCATCTTGATTCGTATGTTGCAGCTGATATACGCAACGGTTGAAATAAGAAATAAGAATCATTTCCTTTCCCATTGAGTTCCGTCCCAGTGTTCACAGGGATGGAGGTCTGTGTCTTCAGCAGGTGTAGAGCTAACAGAACTGGCAGCGTTGCGAGGCGTCCTCTTCCACAACATCGTCATCTTCACTTTCCTCCTCTAAATAAAAAATGTCTGACGGAGGAGACTCATCCACGACCTCCGA